AGATCAAGTTAGTGAATCGAGAGGAGTTAGTCGATTTAGACGAGAACGAGTGATAAGATCGATCTAGATGAAAACGGATCGATCCATCCCATCAGGATCGACCGATCTAAAATGTCTCGGGAAATTCTTGGAGTTTGGATCGATCGGTCCAAAAATGGATCGACCGATCTAATTTCTCTCGGGAAAATCCTTCAAAGACAGATCGATCACTCGACTCGATCCATCACTCGATCTAAGCCAAATCGATCCCCAAATCGAGAACATAGCTCGATCACGAAGACTTAGCCGTGGAGCCAAAATCTCAACGATCGACGGAGCCAATCGATCCAAACCTCGATTCACTATGAATCGAGTCTCAAATCGAGTAACCCTCTCGATCTAAGCCATTATGGGCATGAAATCGAGTCCTAGATCGACCAGATGGACTCCTTTCCCTTCAGTTTCTTTCCATCCATTACTCCTTTCCCTTCAGTTTTTAAATTTAAAACTTGGCCAAGGCAAGCATCTTTGACCATAAAAGATGTGCCTTGACCAAGACTTGTGTCAGAAACCACCTCCTTTTACCCATAGTTTTATTTTTTGTTGGCCTTTAAATGTTTTCAACAACTTCACACTCTCTCATTCTTGTTTTCTCGAACTTTTAAGCAAAGAGAGTGGGAGTTATTTGTTTTCTAAAGGCTAACAAGCTTCTTAACAATCTTTGCAAAAGTATTTTCGGATATTTGATAAAAATCTTTAGGAAAATCCCCTTTTATTTCGCAATTGATTGTTTTAGATGCTAGGGCAGTTTTGAATTTTTAAATTTAGCTAAATAATAGGAAAAATCCTGGATTTTCTAGTATCTCAAGATTTGATTCTCCATTATTTTGCTATAAGTTTTATAAATTCCCCAAAATTCTAGGGTATTAGCTATAGACTTTCTTCTTTACCTCTCTTCTTCTCTCATCCGATCGCCGTTTTGCTTATCAAATTGCTTGAGAAACTTGTTCCAGGCACAATGGCTCCCAAGAGAACGAGAGAAGAGACAGCACAAGAAGGAAAAGGTCAGGAAGTGGCTGTTCAAGAGAGGGTACGGTGGAGTAAGGATGAGAAGAGGGACAAGAAACGGCTGGAGAGGCTTCGGTTTGAGCCTACTAAGTTCGCGGACAGGGAGTTGCTGTCTAAGATGGGGCTGCTGGGAGATTTTGACCAACTCCTCCAGAAGATAGGGCTGAGGTGTTTGTCACGGATGGATTGCCCAACCTTCCCTGAAGTGACAATCGACTTCCTTGCCACCTTGGATTTCGGATACGAGAATCCTAGCGTGCCAATTCCTTCTCAAGGTCGCCTCTCCTTCAAGATACAACGCCAAGCTTTCAGTCTCTCAGTCCCCGAGCTCTGCCAAGCTTATGGCCTCGATTCAGCTGCTAGGAAAGTAGAATTCCCCTCCTTCACTCAAGCGAATGACGTTTGGGACCTCATCGCCAATGACGACTACAAGGCGAATACCGCGAAGATCAAGAGGGTGAGGAACCCGGTGCTACGCTACACCTTGAAGCTGATGGCCAACACCTTTAGTGGTCGGTCCGTAGCTCCCACGGTGACCAAGACGGAGCTTTGCTTTCTGTTCCAAGGCCTTAAGCACCTCCTTTGTGATCCGGATGAGAACGAGGAGCCGTTGGAAGACCAGCTCGGAGACGACGTGAACTACAGATGCATCCTTGCTGCTTCGTTGGTCAAATACAAGGCATATGCCTTGAGGTGCAAGGCAAGCTCGTCACTCATTGGCGGTTTCCTCACGCCCTTGTTCGTGCAAGCCGGCGTACAGCTTGAGAACTTCACTCCTGTTACGGATAGAGCATTCATGGACGAGACATATCTAAGGAACACTGATAGCTTGGGACTGATGATGAGATGCCCGAAGCATTCGCCCTTCCCAAGCTTGCCTTTGAGCCGCGGACTAAAACGGAGAAGTTCCTTGCTTCTGTTGTGGAGATGCAAAGGAAAATCAACAAATGGCAGAGCAAGGTGCTAAAGAAGCTTGCAAGGAAGGTCAAATCACTTCAAGGAGACTCACCTAAGAAAGCGGCAAGTGAGGAGGTTTAACAGCCCGAGAAAAAGAGACTTTCAACCGGTGGAGTTGTCATCCGTGAGACACAAGGCAGCAACATTCAGCCGGCGCGTCTCTCTCTCCAGGAACCAACCGGCAAGGGCAAAACCATAGTCTCTAGCTCCTCTGGAACATCCTCAAGTTCCAGCCGAGACTAGACCTGAGGTAACAACCTTCTTCCATTGTACATACCGCTCGTGTTTTCTTCTTTTTGCTTTGTGTTTTGATGCTCCTTTGAATTTGTTTGCCACCGGGACGGTGTCAAGCATGTTTGGGGGAGTATGTGTGTGGTTTGAGATGTGTTTTCTGATCTTATTTTCCCTTTAGCATCCTTGAGTCTTCATTGCATGAAAAATTGGTAAATTTTTAAAAAATTCATGTAGTTGCATTCATCTCATTAAGCATTTTAGGATTGAGTCTAGAATCTTAAAGCATCTATGTTGTTCATATTCGCATAAGGGGTTAGAGTTTTTCTTAAAAAGTTGTTTTAAACTCATGAATTGTTTCAATGCCCTAGTTAGTAGTTCTCTAATGCTTTGCTCATACTTTGAAAGTAAGTTCTTACCATGCTTGGACCACTTGCTATGATTTTCGTGACTTGAATTGAACTCTCATGATTTGAAACTTGTCCTAATAAGTGAAAACCTTAATATGAAATTTCAATTATCATCCTTATGCATTTGAAAATGAACACATGGATTTTAGAATATTTAGGCTCTCTTCTTCCTTCTACCACTCTTTGTGAGCCTAAAGTAGAACTCCCACCTTGACTCTTACCTTTCTTTGAAGCCAAGTTTTCGTGTGTGACATCATTGTGAGGCCTTTTTCCGGTTTGAACTTAGCATAAAGTGTTAGGTTTAGGCGACATGATTAGGTTCTCATATGTTTGCTAAGTACCTAGAAACATCCTTAATGCATAGAGAATGCAAACTACAACCTATATGCAACCTTAGTCTAAAAGGAAAGGAAAATGGGACTAAAGAGAAAGAAAATATGCAAAAGGAGACCAAAACATGAACTAAATGCAAGCTTAAATGATGTAAATGTATGAGATATCAAGCTACTCAAATCGTAACACACTCAAGTTATTGTAGTATGAAATGTATCAATCCATCTGAGTTCATAAGACACTAGGAATGCAGCAAATCACTTAAGTCAAGCCAAAATCAAGAAAGCAGTTGTGATTAATCTATACAAGACTAAGCAACACAGATTTAAAGCAGGAAATTCAAATAGATTAAAGTAAGGATCTAAGATGGGGGTTATTGACTAATATGGGATTAGAACTAAACTAGTGATACTTTCAAAACTATTCAAACAATGTTATCTTCTAAGCATAAGATTAACATTTATAACTAGCTCAATTCTTTGATACTAATCACTTTGCTAAGCACATATTCAAGATAAATTCCTTTACTCAAACACATGATCATCAAGCATTTAGAACTGAACTCCAATCCTATAAAGCCAAAGTGCACATTAGACATCTAATTCCTTAGGCTAAGAGAACAAGTCCTCTAAAAGACTCGTTGCAGCATTTCATTAAACACTTATCAGGTATAAGAGAAAGAAAAGATACTAAACAAGTCTGGCCAAGACTAATCTAGTGTTAAGCACATCTAATAGAGAGAAGACAATCATATTAAGCATAAGACATCACTAATCTAATCCTAAAACCCCTCTAATCTATCCCATCTCAAACCCTAAATAAGACTACTCACTAGCCAGAATCAAAACCACATATTCCAAAGAGAAATAATGGTTAAGCATGATTAGGAAGCAGAATAAGCAAGAATAGATTATAGGCAAATGCAGAATTTCACTCAATCAAACTAGTTCTTACAAAGAAAAGCTGAAAGAGGAAAGGTTTTTAAAGCTAGAACAGAAGAAAATTAATAAGATCTAAGTTGTCTAACCATTTAGGACTTTAGTATTTATAGGAGAGCTTAGAAACCCCTAACAAACCAAGAATAAACAGAAAATAGGCTGACTTGGATGGACCATATCGGCCTTGTACATCGATACACACATCGATATCAAGTCTTCTTGTGGGTTGTATCGACATGGCCTGGTTGATACGGTGGTCCATATGCAAGGCTTCAAGAATGTATCGACTTGACCCTCTTCGGTGTGAAGTCGATACAATCGCCCTTTAGCTAAGGCTTATCAGGCAGACACGTCAATATGGTACCTCGGTATTGTCCTGTCTCCATGTATCGGTCTGGGACGTCAATACAATGCTCCATATGGGTTATTGGTTCTATGTATTTAGAAAAATTAATCAAATTCAATGTTATTGGTTCTATGATTTTAAAATTCGTATTCAAATTCAGTGTTATTGGTTTTATGATTTTAAAATCTATATTTAAATTCTGTGTTATTAGTTCATGATTTTAAAATCATAGATTTGATTTATAAGAGAATTTTAGTGGATTTAGAAGAATTTTTATGTTAAAAATACAAAAATTCAAATTCATGGTTAAACTTATAATTATGTAAAATCAACCTATTAAATTTAAAAATTATTAAATTTTATAAAGATTATATGAATTATTAAATCAATTAAATACATAAACCAATAATACCCCTTAGCATTAATATCTTTAATAACACTAAACAAGAAAAGATCTAATGATTTTAAATCCTAAATATCATAATTTTTTTTACTTCGTAACACAGGTTATTCGAAAGCTTCACGTAAAATCGAGTGAATCGAATTGGATTTTAAATAAAATGTATACTCCAATAAATCATCGTAAAGAGTCATTTAAACAAAAAAAAAAATATAAGATTAATAATATATATATATATATATATATATATATATATGAGGGAGAAAATGTGGAGACAAAGTGGATAAGATAACACATCCAATGAGAATCAGATAATCAAACACATATATCTCTAAGAGCCACAACATCTCACGAACCAGATCCTCTCTCATGCCACATCAGCATGTGCAATCTCGAGTCTCGTAGATTGGTTATTTCTTCATCACACATACTCGACTCAATTTTGTTTTAATTTCATAAGAGAAAACTTGGACAAGATAATGGCAGCAAGTGCATCTCCAATGGCGAGCCAGCTAAGGAGCAGCTTCTCCTCCACATCTATTGCGAGGCGTCTCGCGGTGCCAAAGGGCATCTCCAGCGCTCCTTTCGGCGTTTCTCCAACTAAGAGAACCTCTTCCTTCACCGTCCGTGCTGTTCAGTCCGATAAGGTATCTTTGTGCCAAATCTGATGTTACTCTAGCACACACTTATCATTTTATCACTTATGCGGTATAATATGTTAGGGAATTACGAAAACAAAAATCATTGATAAATAGATTATTGTCTTTGTTAGTATACAAAAGCTACAATGAAGTACCACTAATTTTGCCTTCGATTGACCATAAACAACTTTCATACTTTATTTTTCGGTATAAGAGTGATCCTATAGAACTCTCTATGGTATTTGCATAACTGAAAAGAATGACAAATTTGGATATATATTAATATATATTGCCCTTACATTTAATTTACAAATAATCGGACATGTAAAATTGACAGCCAACATTCCAAGTGGTTCAACCAATCAACGGCGATCCATTCATTGGAAGTTTGGAGACTCCGGTGACGTCTAGCCCATTGGTAGCGTGGTACCTCTCCAACCTCCCGGCTTACCGCACCGCCGTCAACCCTCTCCTCCGTGGTGTCGAAGTGGGCCTTGCCCATGGTTTCCTATTAGTGGGCCCATTTGTCAAAGCTGGCCCATTAAGGAACACAGCTTACGCTGGCTCCGCCGGTTCTTTAGCCGCCGCTGGGCTGGTAGTCATTCTCAGCATGTGCCTGACCATCTACGGAATCTCTTCGTTCAAGGAAGGAGAGCCATCGATCGCACCGAAATTGACTTTAACCGGGCGGAAGAAGCAGCCTGACCAGCTTCAGACAGCTGAGGGTTGGGCTAAGTTCACTGGAGGGTTCTTCTTCGGAGGGATCTCTGGTGTGACTTGGGCTTACTTCCTTCTCTATGTTCTTGACCTTCCTTACTACGTCAAATGAATGTAATGAAAAATATGAGCTTTTACCAATATTCTACCTTTAAAGACTCTCTTGCGTCATTGTTTTTTACTCTTGTCTTGATCAAGAATCATGAATCTCAGGATGGTTAATGTATATTTCTATGTATTTTTTTCTCAACTCTTTCTTCATCTTCCTTGACAGTAATTTATATTTGCCTTGAAAATGTTCTAAATTGGGGTTCATGATGTTGATACTAAACACATCGTTAACAAACAAGACAGATCTAGAATTATTTAATATAATATATTTTTAAAAATACGAAGATAAAATGTCAGCATATTATAAAATAAAGGGAAATTGGATAGTATGACCATATGAGATATGAGAGAGCTAAAACGATAGTTCGGGATCAGACAATGTGGAATAAAACATAAAACTTATTTGTAGTCATGACCACTATATACTATATACATATGTATAGTATAGTACATGATACAACCCTCATTGTCTATATACGAGGATTTAACAAAGAGAGGAACTTGGGAGCTAAAGAGGATGGAGCTGAGAAGAAATGAAGACTTGTAGCTGAGCTAAGAGGAGCTGAGGACTTAGCAACCATACACCACCGTTCTGGACACCAAGAGGAGCATTTTGGTCGAGTCAGAATCAGGAGGTTCAATTTAAATCAGAAGATAAAGCGTTCAAACTGCTGGAGCTAACCAAGGAGCTATCTATGGAAAGTTCGCATATATGTTCTACCAACATGATATGCAACCGACCTCTTATGTTTATTGGGACTAAGAAGGCTTTTAAACCATCCCTGGTTCAATACAAGACAGCAACTAACCAAGAAGATCAGTCAAATTCAATTCAAACCACTTTTGGAACCAAATCAGAAGATATGAAGCTGTTTATGGAAACTTCGAATATATGTCCTCCTAAGACATTATATTTGCCACTCCTCACATCCACAAGAGCTTATACGAGCCTTACTACACCAGAGCAAGCCAACACTCGCCCCATTTATTCAGAAGTCAAAGTAGATTGCATCAAAGAGAAGCTTTCCTCATTTGAAGATCATCACTTATATCAAACCAGAAATGAAGACCAAAGACCATCATTGCTAACTAATCTCGACCCTACATTCATAAGAGGAGATCCTGATCATTCAAACCATTCTGAAGACTCAAGATTCGTCCCCCCCCCCTTCTAAGCCCCCCAAATCAAGACCCATCACAAATTAAGTATTTTCCACCCATTAAGCCAAATGACTTAGCATTTTGTTACACCAGATTTTATGCTTGATTTTTAATTTTTGTTACCATTTTATGTCTTCATTTGGAGCACTATATAAGCTCAAAGTATTATAGATTCGAGATCACCAGTCATTTTTATAAATCAAAGAAAGTTTATCTTGTTTAAAAGAAAGTTATCTTTTGAATCAAATTATGTTCCTGCTTTTCTTCTTGTGTTTTGTGGAATCAAAGTTTGAAGAATTGTGTAGAATTTATTAGCTCTTGCGAGGATTAGCCCTTGAGTTAGTAAAGTCTAAACTCTTGTGCTTGGAGTTCAAGTACAACTGGTTTTCCATCATTCAAACCACTCCTCCATCATTTTGGCTTCTAAGTGAAGATTTCAAAGAGACCTTACTTGAACAACATTTCAAGTATTGTATCATTGGTATCAGAGCTAAAAGCTCCTATCCAGATGTCTTATTTCTATTTCTATTTCATATTCCTATTTCAAGTTTTTGATTTTTATTTTCATTCAGTTTTGAATTCTATTCCTTATAAAAACCAAAACCCCATAAAAACTGTTTTTCTTGTTCATCTGTTTTCTGCAGTTTATTTACAATTTTCAAAAATCCAAAAAAATATTTTGTTTCTTGTTTCTGTTATATTAAACTCTTAAAAACCAAAAAACATATCTCTTTTGAATTTTCGGTTCATTTGAAATTTTTTAAATCATTTTCTCTCAACTGGTCAAAAGCTGTTTAATTGCTTGTTCTTGTATTTTGCTGTCATTTAAACACACCTCTGATTTGTTTTACTTGAATTTTGCAAGATACCATGGGAGACAATACACCAGCAGTTGATCCTATACAAGCAATACTGGCTGCAATTACCAACTTAGCTGAAAGCATCACAGCCCTTTGCAAGGAACATAGTGTCCGCTTTGAGCGCCTTGAAAGGAGAAAGGCTGAAGCAATCAGCTTGTCCAACGAGCCATACAACCATTACAAGGCTCTGAAGCCACCTGTTGTATCTCCACCTCAAGTAATAGACCCCATACATGTGGCACAAGATTTTATCAAAAAAAGTTTGCCACCTGAAGTGAAATCTATTGCACCATTGGCAGAAAGAGAAACTCCAATTGTGCATGATGAGAACGTGGGCAACAAAGGGGAAAAACTGAAGTTTATTAAGGATAAACCACTAGTAGCTGAGTTTAAACCAACACTGGAGATTGAGGAAGCCAAAAATATTCCATTTCTTCTACTAATTGAGCATCTACAAGCTAATCACCAAGATAAGCTCTTAAGCTCTAAACATTTTTCAAAATCTAACTTAAGGTTGTTTGATGCAGATTCTGATGTTTTGAGGACAAAACCTCTTCAAGAGGGAGAGGATGATACAACCCTCATTGCCTATACACCAGGATTTAACAAAGAGAGAGACCTTGGAGTTAAAGCTGAGCTTGAAGCTGAGAAGAAAGGAGGACTTGTAGCTGAGCTGATGATATACTCATATATTTCGCATATTTAACATGCATTTAGAGTAGTTTTCATGCATACATCCTTCATAATAGGCTGGTTTGCACCATTTATCTCATTTTAGGTCCTAGATCACTTTGCATTAGCATTTTGCATATTTCTTGCATTCTTGCATCATATTCAGGTTGTTTTGGATACACTGGAGCTATGGAGGTTGCGTGGACGTGCTAAGGATCGAAAGGAACGCTATGGACACTTGGGAGAACTCAGCCATGCAGCAAAGGAGCCGAGATAGAGGCGCAGATCAAGCTAGGCAGGTCGATCTAGACGAGATCGACCAGACGATCGAGTTGCTCGGGTCGTTTCAAGAAGGAGGATCAAGATCAAGATCGACTAAGGTGATCGAACGTGAGTACGGACACGGGAACTAAGCCTGGGAAGAACGAGAGCCAGATAGAGTTCACGAATCGATCATCCGAGGATCGACTAGAAGATCGATGGAAGCACTCGATCCACCAGACTGAATCGACCCAAAGATTGAGCGAGAGAAGACGTTCTACGAAGACGATCGAGTAAGAGATCGACTGCTCAGATCAATCTCTAAAACCTTATCCAGACAGCTCACTTTTGGAGTTTAGTGAGGGGACCATTTTTTGGTTTTACCCTATTTTTGGAGCAACAAAAGAGAGCCATCGGATATCTTACACATTGTCTCCTATCTTTTATGTTTATGCTTTAGAAAAAAACCGCCATTGTCTAGTTTAATCATGCTTATCTTTCCATTACATCTCTTTTGCTTAGTAGTTTAATCATGCTTATCTTTCCTTTCTTTGCATTTTCGTGTGTTTTAATCATATGTAGTGAGTAGTCATCTATGAGTTTAAGGTTGAGGTGATTAAGGGGTTTAAAGGTTTGAGCTTTGGTCTTTTTCTTGTTCTTAACTTAATCTCTTCTTGGATTTGGGAGTTTTAATGCCTAGAGAGTCTTGGGAAAGATCTTTTTGATCTCAGGGATTTCCTTACCTTGACAGGATTCAAGAGACCCCTTAAACCCAAATCCAAGAGACTAGCTCATCCTTTCCCAAACGCCATGGATGCTTAGGGAGCTAGTTAAGCCATATTTTGAGATCTATGCTTAATGTTCTTCGACCTATCTTTCCACCATACGCCATGGCTTAGGAGGAAAGGCTGAGGAAAGGATTTATACCACACGTCATGGATAAATCTAGTTTAGCTTCTCAAGGCTTAGAGATAGCACTCAATAGTGTAGATCTATGTTTTCAAAACCCAAAGCTTGAATCTTGAACCTCTTAAACATGACCCTCAACCTTGAATCCTATTTTAGCATTTAAAAACTTAAAGTTATCATTTCCTAGTTCTAAAGTTTGCATCTTCATTCTTAGTTTCTTAAAAATCATCCTATGTTGTTAGATCTTTCCTTTTCTGTCTGTTTTTAGTGTTTGAATTTAAAAACTAGTAGTCTAGCATTTTATATTCTTAGAAGTCATCTAGTAGTTGTTTAACCCTTCAGTAGGGATTTTAAAATAGTTTTCGTGGTCATTTAGTTGTTGCATTTAGTTTTCATAGATTTTCTCCTCTATTTATCCGATTTCACTTAGATTTACTTAGCTCTTGCATTCCTAGTGTTCTTTCATCAACCTGAGCTGGATTGACACCTCTTGCACCTATACTACAACTATATTGTGCTTTAGGCTTTGATTTCAAACAGCTGAGTAAAAATCCTGTTATCAAATGGCGCCGTTGCCAACTTGGGTTTGAGTTGAAAGTATTAGGATTTGGAGCTTAGTAGAGACTAAGTTTTTATTTTTACTTTGGTTACTAATATATCTACCTTCATACTTGTCTTCTCAGGTACATGAATCTGAGGTCTAGTGGTGACAACAATCTACTACAACCTCTAGACAACATTCATCAACTCGGAAGTGCAAGAGAAAGAAGGGCAAGAGAACAAAAACAAGACTTTGAGGAAACATTGCAACCGGATATTCTTGATTTTGAGGTCATGGCTGAGCAAGACCAAGCTGAGGCTCCACCTCACCGTGCTGCTGCTGGAAGGGGTAATGGAAACCCCAACCATGCCCCAAGGCAACCAAGAATCATCGGAGCGGGTGATGCACCAAACACTCATCACAACCGCTTTGGCATCACACCACCACCGGTGCAAAACAACAACTTCGACATCAAGCCAGGCTTTGTCTCAATGGTACATAACAACAAGTTCCATGGTCTTGCAATGGAGGATCCTTTGTAGTATTTAGACAACTTTGAGCAAGTGTGTGGAATGATCAAGATCAATGGGATCT